TTTTTCTTCCACTGCCGGTCCGGCTCGGGCTATCTATGGTCCACTGCAAATTGATAGAGGCCAGCACAACGTCCTGCACACGAGCGCAGACGTTCCATCATATGAGCAGGATCCAATAGTACCGTCTTTAACAAATTGTTAGGAGACTTCGGCTGTCTTGTTAAACTACCAATCGGAAAATGTGGGTGTTCTGGAATGTCCGCAACCTAGAATAGTTTATCTGCGCAGAATACTGAATGTAACGCGGACCAGGCGCAGGAGGAGCTCCACGAGCTCGCGCTCGCGGGCGCCAAAGAGGGAAAGACGGTCCTGAGGCTGAAGCAGGGCGACCCGTTCATCTACGGCCGCGGCGGAGAGGAGGTGGCATACTTCAGGGAGCACGGCTTCGGCGACCGGGTCACGGTCCTGCCGGGCATCACTTCCTCGCTCAGCGCGCCGCTGTTTGCGGGGATTCCGCCCACGCAGCGGGACGTCGCCGATCAGGTCCTCGTCTGCACCGGCACGGGCAAGAAGGGCAAGCCGCCGGCGCCGCCCGGGTTCGTTGCCACAAGGACGGTCGTCTTCCTGATGGCGCTGCACCGGATCACCGGGCTGGTGCGAGAGTTGACGTGCTACCTCGAGACGGAGGAGCCGGAAGCGGCCGAAGGCAGGGGGGGCGGCGAGGTGAAGGAGACGCCGAAGAGGGCTCTGTGGCCGCCGAGTACGCCCTGCGCCGTCATCGAGAGAGCGAGCTGCCCTGACCAGAGGGTCATACGGACGACGTTGGAGCACGTGGCCGAGGCGATCGAGACGGAAGGAAGCAGACCGCCCGGCCTTCTCGTCGTCGGTCGGGCGTGCGAGGCGTTATATGAGAGGGAGAAGGGGCGGGCATGGGCTGTGGAAGATGGGTTCAAGGGGTTCGATTTCGATGAGCTTCTTGGGTTGTCATGAGCATCTTCTTGTTATGTCTAGGTAGTTATGGGAACGGGGTTTCACTGGTGCATGGCCTGGATCAAGAGGGGTACAGACAGACAGCATTGCGAGGCGCAGGAAACAGTTTTCAAGAATCTAAAAAAGAAATACTACCCTTCCTTCTTTAACTAAGTAAACTGTAAGTTAGCTGGCATGTTTAGCAGGCGCGATGATTATCGACTGCAGGAAGACCCAGAAAGGCTGCTCGTTGTCACACTCATGACCCAGGCGCAACTTCGCCCTCGCTGAAGACTGGGGCCTGAACAAGATTGGGGGGTTTTTTTTTATGGTCTTAACCGTGTAGCCAGATGCTGCGTGAGAATTCTGAAGAGGGGGAGGAGAATTCTCTTTTCGAGTAGTCGAACATTGTGATATGCGAGGACTGCTGAGGCCAGTGGATGCATGACTACAAGGTTCATATGCCCATTGATGCCCATTTGTTATATCAAGAGCAATTATGTTACTTGACTGTTCTTGAGAGCCGTATTAATGAATTATTATTCCGGACTCGAAACCGACTTCTGAGACTTCGTCACTTCAACCCCCTGAATCGACCTATCCCTCGATGAAGGCAAGGGATCGTGTATATTTGAAGGCTATGCATTTTGGGAAATCGCCAGCCTATTATGCTAGAAGCTTGAATTATTGTTTTCATGACACCTGTCCATTAGGCAGCTGTCGTGGAAGAGGGGACACTCAAATCACCGGGCAAATTCTCGCTCAAAGAATAACATTTTGTACAGTAATCAAATATCACTCCTCCAGGTTGTTTTAGGCTAATGCCAGTCGGTACTGAAGCGTTAAACAACGTGACATCGTCGTCTAGGGTTTATTATGCTCTATCAACCTAATCTCTCCAGCTATAATAAACCAGCATGTGAGAGACAATGTCAAGAAAATGTTGTAAGGGTAATTGCGTGATATATCTACAGTCAATTACAAAATCAGCAGAACATGGGATTGATATAGGTAAACGCCCAATTGTGGCTGATGGAAACGCCAGATCCCACGTGCAGGTTATTGTGTCAGATCTCACATCAGAACTCCTAGTCTTTAACGCTAATGCCTCTAGGGCAGACGCTCAATGCTGGTACCTAGTAGTAGCCCCTTTCAGCCACCACTTTCATTCCGACACACGCAAACTCCTCCAAACAACTTCCAACAAGAACTGGTCGACAACTCATTCCAAGCAAAAGTACATCAACTTCAAAATGACGGCCGGCAGTCGTGCGGCCCGGGCTCTTTCATTTCTCGAACTCCCGGTAGAGGTTCAAACTCATATCCTCCAGCAATTGGCCTACTTGCATCATCAGTCGATACGCGCGGTCCTGTTGACATGCAAACACCTCCACCAACTTGCATTGCCCTTGTCTGTCTACACCTACGAGAATGTCACCTCAAAGAACATGAGCCAGCACGCTCAGAAGCGCAGTCGCAATCTCGACTTCCTCCGGTACATCACCATAACAAAGCCCGAGCTTGCGCATAACGTGCGACGTATAAGCATTATACACGTCTCCACAAGCCTCATTTACCGGCTCGCCCCCACCAACAAAAGGCCGCTTGGGCCTACCAGCGATGAGATGGCTGTGTACACGGATTTAATAGATGCATCAGGTCTGTCCAGCCACATCGAGAATTGGGAGGCTGTCAGAGACGAGTGGCTGCGAGGTCTGGTCGACGGCTTGGTTGAGCAGCAAATTGGTCTTCTGCTACTTGCATGTCCGAGGCTCGAGACACTCAAACTTGGGACCCCGCTATCGCCTCGGCTGCTGCCTCGCCTTATCAGGGCGGCGGCGAGGCATGCAATGATTTCCACATCTGGAGCGCCTCCCGGGACCAACCGCCCCCTGCTTGACAGCTTGCGGCAATATTTTGGCGAGCCAGAAAGCCCAAAGACCTTGTTTCACTTCTTCAACATTGGCAAAGAATTCCTCCAACTGCCGCAGTTGCGGTCCTTCACCTGCCTTAGTCTGTCCAACAGTGGCCCGAACGGACACCTTTTCAATGAAGAAGCCAGTCCTCCAGGCTGCTCAAACGTCCAGGATATGACTTTGCTCGACACCAACGTTACGATAGAGGGGCTGAGAAGTCTCATATGGGCTTGCAGAGGGCTGAAATCATTCCATTGGACTCCAGGCGATAGTTCCTTCTCCGACATGCAGATCAAGCTGCCGGACCTTGCTCAGGCCTTGCTGCCGCATCGAGAGACTCTCCAGCACTTGTACATTGACTACCAAGACCGCTGGAGGGAAATGGACTGGTACCGCAAGCGGGAAAACTTCTTCATCGGCACGTTCCTGAAGGACATGACCTCGATGAAGACCCTACATATCGGCATGGAGGCTTTCATGGGGTTTACTGACCTCTGTACCATAGGCCACGAGCAGAGTTCGGTGCCCGAGGAGGAGCGGCTCACTGAAATTAACAAGACATCTCGACTTGTCAGCTATATTCCCCCGAGCCTCCAGTTCCTCGAGCTTCATGGCTGTACCCTGGATATAGTGCCTCATGTCCAGCATCTATTGAATCTACTTCAGACGGAAGAGACGTTTGCAAGCATGCGGAAGATACGCCTGCGTTTCAGTGCAGATCATATTGATGCCAGGGCCTTGGGTTTCACTTTCGACGCCAAACGGGTCGATTTTGGTTATTCGTTCCGCTTTCATTCCTCGAACCCGTAAATTCCAGTAATGAGTTGGTAGCAGGTTCTGGTCTCTTGCTGTATAGTCTACTCATTCGGAAACTATATAGCTCCCAGATATCATTTACTTAACGATAATAGGTTTGCTCCATCCAACCTCAGACACTTTTTCCTTGCCACTCACTCCATCCCCGATCCGATTAGAAAATTCATACTCTTCTCAGCCCGGTGGCTTGTTTGAAATGGTCGACTATCTCATTTGGAGGAGGCTCTGTATAATTCAGTCAAATCTTGTCCTATTAGTCATGGCAGTATACTGTCCGGAGTCAACACCTCCAATTTAGAGACAAACACAACAGAAACAAAATGAAAAAGGAGGAGCTAGAATCAGAAAGAGATAGTACATCTGCAACATTGGACTGAGTCTATAACGTGAAAAGGTATTGAAAGGACTCTAGATGGATTGATGCATCAAACAAAAGGGGTTGTCGAAGGCATGAATTCTCTGAGTCTAGTTGGTCTGGCTGGCTAGAAAGTGGCCAGTTTTATAGACTTCTGTGGTGCCTGACTCATACGTACGAATCAGTCAGAATGCTGTTCCAACAAAAGGTTCATATAGCCGTTATGTAACTACAACCTCGCTCTATCGGCCCTCGCCAGTCGCTTGTGGCTTTGGGAAAATGAATCATTCCCGTTAGCACCGACAGTGCCCAAGTTTAGCGCAAGGGCAAAACAGTAACACGACAGCAACAAACGTTGTTGATTTATCAAGGGGCTTATCCGTATTCAAATACGGGAACATAGGGTTAACTTGAACTCCCTGCTGTAATCTAGGCTGGCTCACTTGAACTTCCGTGTAAGTACCGTTGATTACCGCGAACTCATAGCAGCCGCCACGCCAACAGTGCTCGCAGGGACTGGACTTGACACCCCACTCAAGTTTCATCCCCATCAACCTTTCGCAAAGTGTTCAGCAATGACACGCGTCTGAATCGAGTGGGAAACGTATCTGAGGCTGCTCATAATCTCCCATATGGCATTGCCTCTGAATCCATTGACCAGCTCTTCTTGGTTGGAGGAAAGCGAAGTATACCCGCATGCGGATATACTTCCTGGCATCGCACCTTGACTGGACATCAAACGCTCTTTTTACACTGCTGGAGACTTCCATGGCAACGATGTTCTGGCTTTGTTGTAAACTTTGCAGGACAGAACAAGGTAGACCAACTGCTAATAGCACAGGGCTGGAAACTAACAAAAGCACAATGTGACGGCAAATCAGCATCAGCATTAGAATCAAGCCGCGAATTTCTTAGCAGACTATCCGAACTACATCTTGCCAAAACACTGAAGCGCAATGAGTGCCGGGGGGGTTAATGTGCGGAGATTGGTTGACATCGAGGAAAAGTACGACGTGCAGTCAAGAACGTGTTTAAATGCAACATGCCATCAGAACTATAACCGTAATTAATACTTAGTATAGACTCAGGACGTAACAAGGCCTGTACTAAACTACCTATCTGTATCACAAGCTTGATGCCACATGCCATCCTAACTCGACAGTGTTTAAACAGCGGCACACGCTCGCCCGCCAGTGGCATGGTATAAGAATTCCCGCAGCTGTTTACAAAGCCAAGTTCAGATCACCGCTAACGGTTCTTCAGACTTTTAGCTGAGTCTGACAGGTCAAGTATCATTATTCATGAGTACAAAGGTATTATTATCTCATAGATGCAACCCCAGGAGGCTCAGTACCAGGAAGAGCTTCCGCACAAGACGCAGAGATCTTCCCGCAGTGAACCGTGCCCTGTGTTCCACGAACGAAACTCAGCTCTGCTTTGGAGGTTGGCTCATAATGTTGACCCGAAATCAAATGGGACGATCTGCGGTCAGCATTGATAAGAGCCAAGTTTCGTACACCGGTTACCATGTGGTTTTAGCTGCAATGCTGGAAAAACAACGCTCTTGCTCAATTGGGATCTCTGCCACCTAATCTGTAGCCCATAGCAGCATCTGAAATAATGGACACATATTATAGTTCAACCGCCGCCTCGGTACTTAACCTAATGCAGAAAACAAACCATAATTTTAGTTGCTTCGTCAACATGCCGATTGATCATCAGAGGCTGGGCACGGCCCCGGTGGCAGGATTGATGAGTTGGATCAAACTCAAACACGGTGATTTACCGCTCATCAACCTGCTGATCATACCGTTTCGGCTGTGTTACCATGGCTCTGGGACAATTCTTCTGTCATATTGTCACCAACACACAATTTTTCCTACATTCTAGGCGGTTTGCACAGCATCAATGTAAGAGTAATGACTCAGGCAACTTCGATGTCTCATGAGCCAACGCTTTCCATTGAAAACACAAACGTTCTCTCTACGATCTTCGGAAGACGTACAAATGATTTCAGATCTCTGCACCTCAAATTGAACCAACTACCATGTTGAGTAAGAATGTGAGACTCTCCATCACGAAAAAGTACGGCCCTTTTGTACTTCAAACGGCAATTTCCGACAACCTCGCCAGTAATCTGAACTATGTTGTTGAACACTAATACAAGGCTGTCCCCCGTAGGGCGGCATAGGCACACATAAGTAACTATACACAGTCATAAATACACAGTGAAAGAATCAGACCAACACAATATGAGGTTTTAGAAGAAATACCATAGAGATAGCCGGGTATCTACCCTATTGTAGCAGTCGCAGCTCGCTAACGTCAGGGGTTTATGGTACCTCTATCTATTGACGTACTCATAACCTCTATATTTGGCAATAGGGTAGGGTAGATGCCCGGACATCTCCATGGAATTTCAGAAACCTTATATTGTGTTGTTGAGTACTGAGCATGGTGCTTTGATGGTTTCCCCCCTCCACTGTGTATGATCACTATTGTGTAACTGTGCGACCTCACGAGGGGACCGCCTTGTATCTTTGCCTATGTATCTACCTTACCTATTGAACGAAGTCGCAGGTGACAGCACAGTTCACACAGTTGGTTAAAACTCAAAAAGCCGGATTCTATTGGCATTTAACTAACGATTGCGCAGTCCAGTGCGTATGCCATTCCCTTTCTTTGATTATTCTTCTTGCACATCATGTGATCCCAGTCCCGGCCAGAATCAATTCGGACACACCCCTTCTATCTCCTCTCATGAGTTTGTTTAGTGTCACCAATTGGAGTATGGGACGGCGCAGCTCAAAACTCCCGTTCATACTTATTTCCACTATACTTGCTTTGAGCGTTATTGTAGTTCTCGGGCTTCTCAAGGCTTCATCCCATCCTTACATCATTGCTGCCTCCGACAGTGTCGGAGATAGAATCAAGGGCAAAGTTGACAACATTCCGAACCAGGTTCATTACGTCTGGGCTCAAAACGACGCCAGCGGCGATCTTCTTTTCACGTTTGAACAATATCTTTCTGTATACTCTGCATGGTACTATTGGAAACCAGACACCATTTATCTTCACACGAACGCTCACGAGACCACAATTGCTCGTGCGCGACAAGGGGTCGTCAGTAAATGGGCCATGCGCATGCTGGCGATCCCCGGCTTGAAGGTCAACCGGGTTGAGATGCCGACTACCACAAGGCACGGCGTTACGTTCAGCTTCAGGGAGCACACTTCGGATTTTGCGAGGGTTAGGGCGGTCCACGACTACGGCGGTGTGTACATAGACTTCGACATACAGCCCTTGCGAGACGTTGCTGTGCTGCGTAGAAGCGGATTCAATGCCATCAGCGGCCGACAAAAAGACAACAACCTGAACAGCGGTTCTTTTATGGCCAAGAAAGGCAGCAAAATGATTACGAAGTGGATGGATATGATGCACGAGGTCTACAATGGCGGTTGGACCACGCACAGCAACGATGCCCTCACGGCCGTTGCGCGCAGTCTCGTCCCGGACGCCGGGGAGATGCTCATCATGGACCGAGAGGCTTTTGCGCCCATGGGCTGGTTATTCGAAGACGCCCGTGAGTTGTTTGGCCTTCACAACGACACGGCCTCCCCTTTGGAGCATCACGTACCGGGACAACGTTTACCCTCTTACGACGACAGCCAGCGCCCAACGTGGGCACGAGACTTTTCTGCGTCATACCTCATCCATAGCTTCACTCCAGACTGGAGCCTCAATCCGGTTCCCGAGGTCACCGAAATAACTCCAGCATACGTTCTGCACAGACGGAGCAATTTCGCCTGCGCTACGTACCCAGTTGTACGAGACATGTATCACAAAGGGCTCGTGACGCTGGAAGATGAGGAGGTGTGAATGAAGCAGATTTCTCCCAAGATGCTCATTCAGCATTTGTACGTTTTTATTTATGTCATTTTTATGACATTTTGGTCGCAGGCGGTCATTTCTGAAAGTGGGAGACGGCGGAAAATCAGGGCCTGTGCTGGACGTTTAAAGCAGGTGTTGATTATCACTATGATGGGACATCCCTAATCACACATACGTATGGGTAGGATTGTGTGGTGTTGCTTGTTGTATTGTGGTTGTATCTAGACTTTTGGCACTGGCCTGTTGGCATACCCTTGTCGGGGAAGGGTGGATACTGCCGGGAGGCGGTGTGTCACGTGAATATCACGTGACCAACCTTTCCCGGAACACATCCCCCATGTGCCAACAGCAGGTGTTCCATGGGTGTGCCATTGTAGAATCCTGCTTCAATGTCGACTTGTTGCCAGAGATTTTCTTGATGCAGTTGAAACCTTTGGGAGGCTCACAGCTCGGAAAATACGCAGTCTTACATGGTTACCGGTATTTATATGGCCCCCTTCTGGTATTTTCACAGCCTACCCGCCACCACCGCCACAATACACCCAAATAACACATTCCATCACCCTAACATAACCAACTAACCCAGACCCTAACCTAGACCCTAGCTACTAACCCTACGCATCTTTTATATATACTTTTAAAGATGCGTAGGGTTAGTAGTTAGGATGGTTAGGGTCTGGGTTAGTTGGTTATGTTAGGGTGATGGAATGGAATATAGTATTCCTAACGGGACTAATAAAGATAGGAAAGAGACTAGCCTAGATGGGCTTAGAGGGCCATGAAAGTACTAAAAGGGGGCTGTGAAAATACCTGTAACCGTCTCACATGACATGGCTATCGGCATCTGGGTCCGTTCTGGTAGCCAGCCCAATGTCTATTCCGGCAACTTTGTTACAAACTGTTAATAACAACAACAACAACAACAACAACAGCGAAGCGGGGACAACTCAGACTGCACCATCAGATCTACGTTGTCTATTGAAAGCCAGAGCAACGCCGCCATGTCCAAAGGGCTGCAAGCTGAGACTCACCAGTCGTTTAACACCGGCATAGTAAGAGGAAACCAAGGTTTTACGTTGGCGGTTCGTCACAGCTGCAATGCACCATGTGGTTCGCATCTCCGCTGCGGCAAGTAACAAACGTCGAAAGTTTAGCAGCAATACGAGAAGATCATCCCTACCAACCCACCGCCCCTTGTTCTTGGTGTTGACCGCCAGCCGCCAGCGCGGCGCTACAACGTTACAGTCAGGGTTAGCGCAAGCATACCTCCGCACGCTCCGTACGGCATAGTTTGCACGAATCCCGGTCCCGACAAGTGACTAGGATAGCGGATCGTCGTCTTCTATTTCTGGTCACTTCCAAGGTGTGGAACCCCGTATGCATTATAGACTAATCTGCAAGCAGTCTGCTCAGCGGGCCTCTGGTGTTTGTCCCTTGTCGACCGGCCCTGAATTTCCCTCGCTGGGGCCAGAGCACTACCTACGGCTTTTTGGGCTCTGCTGGACAGGCATTCCCCACAGAATGACCCTCTAGTCCTCTGCCCAAGTGCTGGTGACGTCGAAATCACCAGCCTTATTCGCCTAGCTGGGCGGAACCCCCTACTTGGCAGCAGTGCCGGCCTCCGCGACTCCAACCGGAATCATCTATAAAAGACCGTTGCGCTTCTTCTAGATGGATTGTATCACACCAATCCCCAACCTACAAGTTCAATACAACCAAGCACCACAAGACCTTCTCTACTTCTCTCCATCTTTAGTCTCTTCAAAATGAAGTTCACTCTCGCCACCGTTGTTGCTCTCTTCGGCGCCTCTGCCATCGCCGCCCCAACTCCTCAAGATGACGGCGCCCCTTCCGAGAACATTGATATCTCGAACCTTTCCGTTCGCAGACAAGAGAACGGCACGGTGACCCACGTCAGCTTCAATCTCTCTGGCGACGATGCACAGGGTCTCCTTTGCAGCGCCGATACTGGCGTTCCCTCCAATGTCATCACCTGCGGCGATTTCAAATATAGCTTCAGCGTCCAGAAGGGCAACGAGACCGACTACGCTCTGAGCATCTACCACACGTTCGCCCCTGGGTAAGTTCCTCCTCATCAACGAGTTGCACACCGTTCCGACGAGCAAATCACTAATACGAGTCTTACAGCGTTGGTTACTGGGGCCAGGGTGATGTCTTGACGTACTGCCATGCCGGTGGTCTTGGTGACCTTCTCTGCGACCAGGTCAACCCTACGACGATTGTCATCAACAGCAACCCCCTTGCCGTCAACGCTTAAGTGCTCGGTGACGCCTTCACACGGTCTCGGTGACCTCTGTGACCAGGCCAACGATACGACTATCGTCATCAACAGCAAAACCCCCTTACCTTCGACCCTCAGCCATTCCCATTGAAGTAATGGCTTCTTGTTTATAATTCTAATGTATACATAGAATCAGTGCAATATATACATCACACTTGAAACTTTCTGGTGTGCCCACTAGCCATTGACGGCCTTGGAACGTCATCATATTTTTTGTGTCTATGAAATGCGGTTGTCCCAATGGAGCTTGCCAACGAAAGCTGGCAGGTTGGGAACTATAAAGATGATGGCTTCAGTACATCAAGCACGCTCGCTTGTCATCCATTACGATTGCAGCAGCGATCCGACACTTACCGACTCCCGATTGGTCAAATCGACATTTCAAGTCCCTTGGAAATATATCATGGACGGTTCAGATGATGAAGATTTGGCTAAAGAGGCACTAAATTCAAGTGGACGTGACATTGAGGCATCAGGCCCGCTAGTCATGACTTCTGGTTAGCAATACAGTACGGAGTACACTGAATAATAAAGAGGCCGGTTGTCGCGGTTGAAAACATCTTATCCTGATTGAGGTCAAGAACTAGGTTTTGCGTATTTAGATTCCGTCGGATTCAAAATACTGCTGGGGAACCATATGATGTCATTTCCAAATCTCATGTGAAGAGATAACTAGGCTTACAGCGACTTGGCTATCGGCTAGATTTGGGAGACTGCTCATGCACCATCTTGCAGCCATCAATCTCATAGAGTCGTCCTACTTTCTCTTGTATGGGGTCGTTGCGGGAATATGCCAGGACAGAAGATGGCGAAAAAAGAGGCAAAGTCTCTTTCGGGGGTTTTTTTTTAGGAGGACGACGGCGACCGGAACAAACGGAAAGATACAGATCTGCCTCTGACTACATAGTAGCGACGAGTAGGTACCGTCCGCACTCGTCAGTTTCGTAAACCACTTGCAATCAGGCTAAATACGTCAGCAGGAGGTTTAGGTGCAAGCCTGGCTGGCTGGGTATAGGTGGATTGACCGCCTGCTATCTTCAGTTTAGTGCAATGTTTATACACTAGCTTCTAATAGTAATTCTCTAGCTATATTCAGCTAGCCCGCCTACTGGTTGCTTACGAAACCGACGAGTGCGGACGGTAATCAATTACCAGCAGGACCAAAGGCTGCCGGGGTAGGCCCGGCGGCCGGGAAAAGGTACGCCCTTCCGTCGAGTGTGCCCCGCCTTACCTAATCCGGGTATCTGAGCATTGGAGGCGGCCAGGGTGAGGTAGGCACGAGCAGTTGCGTAGCTGTGGGAGCCTCTGGCCAAACCTCAACCTAGCCTCACCTCCCCGACCACAATCCCCCGCCCCCCGAATCCCAACCCCGACGCTCCTCACGACTTCACGATCCGAGTACGCGCAATCCTCCCCGGACGAAGACGACGCCCCGAAGATAATCGCCCAAAATGTCGGACGGCGCCCTGAAGCCCGAGAAGGACTTCTCGAAGGAGACGGACAAGCAGATCCCAGAGGCTGAGAAGCTCGCGGAGGTTGGCCCACCCATTGTTTGGAGCTTGCAAAACTTTTCCTAATTGGAGTATAGAGTGACATCTCGGCCGCCATTGAGAAGCTGAGTGTCCTAGAGAAGCAGACCCGCCAGGTAAGCCACTTGTCCCTCTTCCCTGTCCGAGGCGTGCGTCATGACAACATGCTAACGGACCGCAGTCCTCAGATCTTGCGTCGACATCTCGTATACTCATCGCCATTGTGAACATCGCCAAGAATGCTGGTGACTGGAGCTTGATGAACGAGCAGGTCTTGATTCTGTCCAAGAAGCATGGCCAGCTCAAGCAAGCTATTACGAAGATGGTCCAGGCCGTGATGAGCTTCCTCGACTCTACCCCCAACCTCGAAACTAAGCTTTCTGTTATTGAGACACTGCGGACAGTAACCGAAGGCAAGATCTTTGTCGAAGTCGAGCGCGCGCGCATCACCAAGACCCTGTCCGACATCAAGAAGGAGCAGGGTGACCTGAAGGCGGCAACGGACATTCTGTGCGAGCTGCAGGTGGAGACTTTCGGCTCCATGGACCGCCGGGAGAAGACTGAGTTTATTCTCGCACAAGTCGCTCTTTGTATCGAGGTTGGAGACTGGACTCAAGCCAGCATCCTTAGCCGCAAGATCAGCACTCGCTACCTGTCACGAAAGCCGAAGAAGACCCCCGAGCAACTGGAGAAGGAGAAGAAGGAGCGCGAGAAGAAGAAGGCGAGAGGCGAGGAGGTTCCCGAGGAGAAGGAGGACGACACAACCGACCTGAAGCTTCGGTACTACGAGCAGCAGATCATCCTTGCGAAGCACGATGACAAGTACCTCGACGTGTGCAAGCACTACCGCCAGGTGCTCGACACCGAGGCGGTCGAAGAAGACCCCAAGAAGCTTCACCCCGTAAGTACTCCCAGGTTGCCTTGACCAGGCTCATCCGCTGACCCATAATGCTTGACAGGTCCTGCAACGCATCATCTACTTCGTCATCCTTGCCCCGCACGACAACGAACAGCACGATTTGCTCCACAGAATCCAGAAGGATTCCAGAATCAGCCAAGTCTCTCAAGAGGCCGATCTCCTCAAGCTCTTCACCGTCCACGAGCTCATGCGCTGGCCCGAGGTTTCCAAGACTTTTGGCCCTCACCTCTGTGAGACCGATGTGTTTGATGCGCAGCCCGGCCAGTCCGATGACGAGAAGGCCCATCAACGCTGGCTGGATCTCCGTAAGAGAGTCATCGAGCACAACGTTCGGGTGGTCGCCAAGTACTATACTCGCATCCAGACCCAGCGCCTCACCCAGCTCCTGGATCTCACCGAGGACGAGACAGAGAAGTACATCAGCGAACTGGTCACGTCAAAGACGATCTATGCCAAGATCGACCGTCCCGCGCGTATCGTGAGCTTCGCGAAGCCTAGAGACGCGGATGACATCCTGAACGAGTGGAGCTCCAACATGAAGAGCTTGTTGGGCCACCTGGAGCGGATCGATCATCTCATCACCAAGGAGGAGATGATGGCCAGCATCCAGCCGGGAGCCTCAAAGTCCGGCAAGGGAAAGGCGACAAAGGCGCATTAAACGGCTGATGGGTCGTTGGGGTCATGACACTTGAGATACGGCGTGTAATTGTAGAGCAACTACCCTAGAAGAAGGCAATGAACCGGGCTGGGATGTTGCAAAATCGTGCTTCGGTCTGTTCTTTGATCGACTATGTTTTCTAAGGTCCCTTTCTGTGCCAACACGTCAAATCGTTTACTCGTAACTGCCGTGCCCGTTTATGGTTCTACATGTTGCTCTTGGCCGATTCCTCGTCGGCAATCTTTTTAATGAAGCCAATCAGTGGCATAGCCCACTCCTTGGAGATGGGCACATAGTGGCCCCCAGGATGCACAACGACCATGGGGTTCTCACAGCGATCCACCAGCCCTTGGCTCCGCGACTCCTCCACCACGGTGTCGAGGCTGCCGTGGAAGTGCAGCGTAGGTGTCTTGATTTTGGGGTCGTAAGCCCATTGCAGCTCCTCGGGGGGCGCGTAGAAGCCCGAGTAGATGACGGCGAACTTGAGCGGCCGCCCGCCGTTGGCCTCCCTGAGGGCATGCACGGGCGCCCGCAGGATCTCGGGGATCTTGTCGTCGGGGCGGTGCGGCGTCTCAAGCATGGCGGCCAGCAGCGAGGCGAAGGCGCCACCCTGGCTGAAGCCTAGCACGCCGTCGACGCCGCCGCCGCCGGCCTCGCGCACTGCATTGGCAACAGTGTTGATGCCCTCGGCAAGGAAACGGTAAGAGCCTGAGGCTTCGTCCTTGCGCCACCAGGCCCAGGAGTCGATGTCCTGGTCCTCCCCGCCGCCCTCCTCATCCGGGACGAAGCCGGGGATGTCGCGCGGGGAGAGCCTGTTCGGACCCGTAGGGTAGAAGAGGAAGGGAACGAGGTTGAAGGGGCCCAGGGACTTGGTGATGAGTTTCTCGAGGGCGCGGGTCTTGGAGCGGAAGAGGGGGCCCGATTGGGTGTATCCTTAAGAGTGTTAGTGAGATGTGTTTTCAAATCAGTCGTCTGCGTGAGTGGGGTAGGTGTTCACGCTGAGCCCCCCTCCCCTTCCCCCATCACTCATGCTAGACGATGCAAGTGATGGAACACATATCTTACCGTGGAGCATAAGAATCTTGATCTCCCGCTTCCCGTTGGACTTCTTCGCTGCCGCGCCGCTAGGCGTTGACCCGTTGGTCGTTGACATTTCGCAGTGAAAGATGTGAGCAAACTGGTTTCGAAATTTGGCGCAAGGTCTAGAACCGAGAAGCAAAGAGTTGACTCGGAAGCAAAGCACGGGTCTCATGTGTGTTTGTATCTATGGTGTTATTGGAAGGGCGTAAAGCGAGGCCGGGAGAGCGACGGGACAAGAGGTGTGGATTCGTCATAATCCACACTGACTCTTCGCCGAAACCAAGGTGGATGGGAAACGGCGATAAGCAACCCGCTCAACTGAACGACCAAACCATATCACACTTCCAAGATCACATATTCGGAGCATGCAAATATTTGACATTACCAGGGCTTCTCCGAGTCTTGAACATTTTTTGGGAGGTTGTTGAGGCTATTGATGTCACGTGATCGAGAACCACGTATGTCCGAGCCCCTCGATCATTTAGGTCCAGCAACCGCGACGTCACCGTAAACATTGCCAATTGAAACCATTCGCGGCCCTCTTCGTAGTATCTGAAGCGAAATCCATTGGTTTCACTACACACACATAAGAGTCGCTTCACAAAGCTCTAGTGAGCATTTCACCGTCTCCGATGCTGCAGAAGTTATCCTCGACATATGACCCCTCGGTCTCCAGGCACCATCTCGACAGATGTAGGATAAACAAATTAGTACAACAGCTCAATTGACGGCGAGCCGTGTGTCTATGGTACAGCGTCCATGAAGATATACGTGTTGGCGGGTCTTTCCATCCTCGACACGTTCCCCAAATGCTCGGTCTTGTCTATGCATAGCCCCGGACTGTTCCATCGCGAACTTAGTGAGCCTTCTTGGCGAGGGGGTTGCGGGCGTCGTTCTTCCACTCGTCGGCTGCATCCCCATATTAGTCTTGAATGACCTGGAAGGGTCGGCTGGTGCGACGTACACTTCATCATGGCGTTCTGAGCCGAGTTGATGCCGTAGGCGATGACCAGACCTGCAAAACATATCAGTCCCTGTTGCGTCCCTCGGTCGATGCTACTCGTCGTTTTTCGATCTCGTGATTACGAAGTCGTTTCGCTCGTGTTACGAGGGCTCAATTGGGGGAGACTCGGACATACCGGCAGCGAAGAAAGGCGCCATCGGCTTAACTGCAAGGGAGGTCAGCAATTGATTGCACGGCGGACACACATGGGGGACGGGCGGCGCGCGACACGTACGGACGGGCGTGGGGTACTTCTTGAGTGCGCGAGCTCCGAGCCAAGTCATCTTGACGGTTGTGATGTGGGTTGTAGGGGGTGGAAGAAGTTGAGAGTCTGGATGGGCGGGCGATATTCGGAGGTTCGATGTGAAGCTATCAGAACGAGCCTTTTTCCTCCGATTGAGCTTTCGGCGGTTGGACCCGTAGCCGACCGTTGCAGCCTCAGGCCAAAACTGTGAAGAAGGGCCTCGTCCGTTTGTGGTCCAGAAAGCGCACGGCCCAAGCGTCGCCAGGTCTCGGAACTGAAACGGAACCACGCAGGAATGTTTCTCCGTCGCTCTCATGCACCCCGGCCGCTTATGTGACATCATTCGACTCTTCTCCGCATCTGGGCGCATTTGGAGGCGCTACGTACCCACATCTCTCACCGGCACCAAGCTCCAGCTCCATCCCCCAGTTCCGCCGTCTGGGAGGGCCACTGGGCCCTCGGCTTCAGCTCTCCCCAGGTTTGGGGGGCACGAGACGGGCCAAGTTAACTTGGGAACCTTGGATTGGGATTGGCGTGGTGGTGGTGCCAGACCCCGAACATAGTGCAGCAAGCCAAACTTCTCATCTCTTGTGTCACCCCCATCTGGTCCCTGCCACACACACCTCCTGCACCTCCTGAAGCTCCCTCACTTCTCTCTCTCCTCCTTACCATAGGTAATACCTACTCATACTGTAAAGTGCGGGGAATCTGCAGAGAATCAGAGACACGCACCACGTTTGCACGGTTGTTGCCCGACCTCTTTCTCGCCTTCATCCAATTACAACCATCCCATTAACTAGTCTCCCGCTGCAAGCACGGGCGAGACCACCACAACCTTGACAACTTTGCCGCTACCTACCTTACCTACCTACCTTACCCACCTACCTACCAGACGGGATACCTCCTGACTGCTACCATTCCCCGACGAGACCAGACCGTGTGTACGAACCGTCTGGCGCCGCCGCCGCCGTCTCCTTGTGCACAGTCGATTTGCTCCCCGTTCTGTAATAGCCCCCCCTGCTCTCGGGTGCTTCCTGCTTCTTGTCGATCAAGACGTGTCGAATCTGCTCTACCTACTTCTTCCTTCACATCCCAGTACCAGAGGCTTGTTCTTGCAAAACAAAGAGCACGTTTGTCACCTTCTGTTCAAGTCGACAACGTACCTCGTTTAGTAAAAGAGACACCTCTCGGTCACCACTTCCATTTATCCTTCTACATACAACAAACCGACACCCCGTTTGCCCCATACACCCCCTCACCGAAAAGATGTTGAGCCAGCGATTGGTGCGAGCGGCCGGCGCGGCAACCCCGCGATCCGCGCTGCGAGCATTCAGTTCGACGAGCCAACAGCTCAAGGTGCCCTCCATGGCCGACGTAACCCCCGCGCCCCAGAGCGTCGCGTCTTTCAACGAGAAGTCCAAGCAGTTCCGAGAGCAGTTGGTTGAGCAAAAGAAGCAGCGGGAAGCAAGTGCGTACACTCGATCATCCTTCCCCTCCCCTTCCGCTTCTGGATCCGCCCAGGACTTGGGCTCATCTGCGAGTGCTACTTCAGGACAGAAGGCCGAAGCCTCTCAAGAGCCTCCGCGCAAGGCCGGTCCCCTGACCAACCTCATCTACGGCACTAAGGAGGGTCGCGAGCTCGACGCCCAGCTCGAGGCCAGCTTCAGCCAAGTCCTCGCCCGAGGCAAGTACGTCCACTCGATCGTCTTCCACGAGGTCAAGCCCGACAAGGTCGACGAGTACACCAAGCTCGTTGGCAGCTGGTACCCGCGCATGGCTTCCATGCCCGAGAATAAGGTCAATTTGGTTGGAAGCTGGAGGACCGAGGTTGGAGACTGTGACACTTTTGGTATGTTAGCTCGCGACCCCCACCCCCTATGCGGAAGCGGAACCAGTTGCTAATATTAGGCCGGCAGTCCACATCTGGGAGTATCAGCGCTACCAGGGTTATCACGAGTCCATCCACAACATTGGCTCGCACCCCGACTTCGCCGAGTTCGACAAGAAGCTCAAGAGCCTCATCACCTCGAAGAAGACGTCTCTCATGCAGGAGTTCTCCTTCTGGCCCACCACGCCACCCCGGCAGCTTGGCGGCGTTTTCGAGCTGAGATCATACACACTACACCCTGGTAACCTCCTCGAGTGGGAGACCCACTGGAGACGGGGCCTCAAGGCGAGACGCGAGGTCATGGAGGGCGTTGGTGCTTGGTTCGTGCAGATAGGAGATCTCAACACTGTCCACCACCTTTGGCAGTTCGCCAACCTCGAGGAGCGCAAGATCCGCCGCGAGAAGAGCTGGAGTGTCGAGGGCTGGAGCGAGACAGTTCACAAGACTGTCCCGCTGATTCAGACCATGAAGTCCAGGATCCTGATCCCCATGCCCTGGTCTCCGGTGGCATGAGGCGGGAGCTGTTTTGGCTGCTTGGGTTTGATCAACCACCTCAGTGGCTTGTGCAGCTTCACATGCCTCGATCTGTCAATCCCGAGCCGCCTTCCCCTTACCGACGTTGACGTGGTCTACCTACCTTGTTACAAATACGACACGGAAGCTTGATCAGTCCGGTTCGTGTCTGCTTGCCAAAGCACTTGGAGAATCGAATTTATGGATTGGGATTGGAAGGTCCAGAAGACAGACTCCCTTGCTCTCTTTTTTTTTTCGTTCGTAACCCTCTAGAGGGTTACACTCTGGCAACTTGTATGTGTACAGACAGATCTCTGGTCAAAAGAACCAGGACATAGGAATTTGAAAAACAGTTGCCTAGGCCAAGGCGTAATGATTCTATTTCCCTGCCAAACTCCGGGGGGTATCCAATGTCAACTACAGACCACGAAGGACTCTTGTCTCATTCGTCAAACTCCTCGCCCATGACCGCTGCCAGGTTCCTTCTAGCACTGGCCAGTGTATGGCCCAACGCAATCAGCTTGGAGGATAGCGACATCAAGTTGGGGTCCGGCAGGCTTTCGACGCGGACCTTTTCCCGCACGTAAACCTCGTTGGCCTCGCCGTTGCTGGATGGGGTACCCAGCCCGCTGGGAGTGCTCTCGCTGCTCCGCGGGTGCCCGGTGCCGTGCTTGTGCTTCTGCCCACCGTCCGTCACGGTGCTATATGTGAAGCGGAACGGGCGATCCATCTCGTCGTGCTCGAGCCTGCGGACGGTGCCTAGCGCCAGGCCGAGCTTGGTGCCAAAGTGGACCGGCGTGTCAACGGGTTCGAGAGCGCGCAGCCAGAGGACCAGGCTCGATTCCTGCAGGCCGAGGTGGAAGCTGACGCTGGGGCCTAGGGGCGGGGTGAAGTGGATGGGGGGGCACGAGTCGGTCTGCCAGCGAGGGTCGGACTGGTTGGGGGACGGGCCCTTGAGGAGGGAGGAGGACTCGGCGAGGGAGGCGGCGATGATGCGGAGCTGGGCGGCGAGCTGCGTGGGGTTCGTGGAGGGGGACGGGCTGTCTGTGAGGGAGAGGAGGTCGAGGCACTCGGTGAGGTGGGTGTGAACCGTCTCGAGCGCGGCGATGTGAATCGGGTGCGAGGGGTCGAGGGTAAGGGTCTGGGTTGGGAGGGTTCGGAGCTGGAGGTGGATTGTCTATGGATATATGTCAGCGATGGGTTGAGCCGGCGGTGCAGAGCGGGGGGAGGAGAACCGAACCCCTTTGACTATCCGCGTGCCGACCCGCGTCACCGTCCCCTTTACGCGTTCGTTACGCTGCGTGCTCATGACGAGGGTGCTGCCCGGGTCGATGGGGGCCAGGAGGGCGTAGCATTCTTGCAGGCCGTAGCGGACGTCCTTGAGGACGGCGTGGGTCTCCGTGACAATCCATTCGAGCTCGCGTCTCTGCGGGGGCGGTCCGATTCTGATTAGCATTTCGTCTCACTTTGGTGAAAGCAACCTGCTTTGCGTCGGGGAACTGGGTGGTGAGAGAGAGAGAGAGAGAGAGAGCTGGAATGGGGATACGTACGAGCGATTCCTGCTTCTTTTGAAGCAGGTCCTCTGGGGACAGGCGAGGCCAGATTGCTATTGACATGTTGTCTTTTTCTTCTCCTTAGCGCCTGGAGGTTGTCGAGGGGGTGGTCGCGGTGGTGGTGTTCGGTTGTTGCAGGCAGCCGCAACAGGGCGTTTAGTGGTGGGATGGTCAACTCATGACGGACGATAGTTTGAAGCTCGGGTCCTGCATCTCGTCATTGCAGGAGGCTTCGAGGACCAGGGGGGGTGGGCGGTCGGTACCTTGTACAGTGTGGGGGGCGCCGAGCTAGCATGTGCCCCACCATTATACAGGTGTCCACGGCGGACAGTGTCTCCACTTAATGCATCTACACTTTTTCTCATCTGGGGAGACGGGATCATGGTCGCTTTTGGATCGTCTCATTCAAGCTCTGAAGGCCACGCTTACAAACCTTCCGAATTACTGAATACGTTTTCCCACGAGCCAAAATTCTAGCAACTTTTAAGGAACTTCGTTACGGATATAATTCAAGCTCTTAGATCGGCTTGGATCATCGGGGCTCATCTCATCACACCCCCTTCAGACTTGCACACGGCTGCCTATCAATCATGGCGCCCTCCCGGTCACCGACACAAGGCCAGGCTGGCAAGGACGGCTCAAGGCAGAGGGGACAGCAGTCAAAAGTGGAAAAGTTGTCCCGATTACCCAAAGGCAAGCCAAATCTGCTATCCCCCAGCCCTTGTTGGTCGAACCCAGAGTTCCACCTAACACACGCCCCCTAGGCTCCAAGATACGGAAACGGGCACTCGCCCGGCCACAGCAGCCCGTCTCGCCAAAGTCAAAGTACATCTGCGTCGGCGCGAAATGCTCCTTCATGTCGGTCGTGTCGCGCGTCCGCGCGCAGCTCGACAAGTCCCTCAAGCACAACGCGCCGTCGACACGGGGCCTGAACCTGAACCAGCGAATCGACCTGCTGCACCGCGACAACGGGACCAGGGGGGGCGACGGCGAGGCGGTGGTCCTCGGCGCGGGCAAGGCCGTCGAGAAGGTCCTGGCCGTTGCGGCGTGGTTTACGGACCAGAGCGACTGCGTGGTCGAGGTGCGGACCAAGACCTTACGAGTGGTGGACGATGTCGTCGTCGAGGGCGAGGAGGGGTTCGAGGACGAGAGCCGCGTGAGGAAGTTGAGCGGTCTCGAGGCTACTGTGCGGCTGAAGTGATGCTTGGAAGTGGTCGGTGTGAACAGCATCGGATTTCAAGAAGCGTTACGCCAACCTCCGCCTCGAACATCAGGAAAGATGTACGGTTGCTGGTGCAACGAAGCCCTTGGCGCGTCACTGCTGTTGGTTGTGGACAGTTACAAGTGGGCTGTGAAAGGCGATGCCGCAGGAGGCAGTGAAGCACAATAGAAGAGCCAGACGGAACTCCGGAAGAGTTAATGATACCCGGCCACCAGGCCTCAATATATGCATGGAAAACATATCGCACGGTATTTTCATGGTCTCATCTCGGATGTGGTGTCATGCTTCCCTTTGTTTTACATCTTAGCCTTTCTGCGGGCATGAAACTCATCAGTTCAAGAATACACAGGGTTTTGAACGCTGACTGGCGTGCGGATTTAAAAGCCTCAAGTATCGGGAAATGACTTGCGGTCTCACGTCCAATTAGGTCGACTTTTGTCGCTTGTGGTGCCGAGTCAAACCATGCCTGCGGGAGTTGATTGTAGCTTAAGCTGCTTAACCAACTCCCCCAGGGTCATTTGAAGAGAAACAAGATAATCCTTGTAGCCCATGCATATAGAGGCCGATTAGCAACGTAAACCACTTACCCAATATACGATCCTTGGCACCCGTTATCTACACCGCTAGCGATACCGGAGATTTCGGTGTGGGGTACTACAAGCCAAAGTCAACATTGAAGGAGAGGGGCATTCCTTCGACGCCGATGCCAATGAAGGGTCTTCTTGGAAATATAGAGAGGAAGGGGAAAAGGGGGCCCGCTTGAAGAGGCCTTTTCCTCTCCTGTTTCAATTCCCTCACTGGACTCCAGCCAACTCTCTCGGAGTCTTCCATCTTCCGTTCGAAACACGGGCCAAGATGATGTTGGAAAGCTCCGCTGTCGTCCTGGCCGTCCTCGCTGGACCGGCCTCCGCCAGCTATGCCTTCTACGTCGGCAAGGACCTCACCGCCGACGGCAGCGTCATGGTCGGCGGCACCGGCGAGGAGGTCTCCTCCCACTGGCTGCAGTTGTTCCCCGCCCGCGACCACGCGCCGGACGCCACCATCACCGTCGGCATCACCGACAAGGCGAGCATACCCGGCGAGCTCTTCACCATCCCCCAGGTCGCCCACACCTACCGGTACCTGTCGATGGAGTACTCGGACTTTGAGGGCTTCCCGGCGCCCCTCACCAACGGCGGCCTCAACGAGAACGGGGTCGCCGTCCGCGACGTCTGGGCGCAGAACCGCGAGGAGCTGGTCGAGATGACGCCCACACCCCAGCACGGCATCCAGTACAGCGACCTCGCACGCATCGTTATGGAGCGCGCAAGGACCGCGCGGGAGGGCGTGGAGATCATTGGCGACCTGGTGAACCTGTACGGCGAGGCGACGTACGGCGGCAACACCCACCTGGTCGCCGACAAGGACGAGGGCTGGGTGGTGTGGGAGATGGCCGGCGGCAAGAAGTTGTGGGCGGCCGAGCGCCTCAAGGCCGACGAGGTTCGCGTGCTGTACCCCGGCTACATTGAGGATTTCCCCACCGACTTTGCCAACAGCTCGGACTATATGGGCTCCGAGAACATCGTCTCCTTTGCGGTAGAGCAGGGCTGGTGGAACCCCGACGGCGGCGAGCCGTTCAACATCTTCAATGCATACGGCATGAAGGGCGAGAACGTCACCGCGCGCGACGGCGGCTTCAAGTTCATGTCCCAGGCCGCCCTGGAGGATGCCACGCTCAAGATGGCCCCCCTCACCGAGGAAAAGCTCATGGAGCGCGTCCGCGACAAGCGCATCGCCGACGACGAGGCCGGCTACGGGCAGGTCGTGAGCCTCAAGGCCGGGGTCGACCCCGATCTCCTGCGCATCTGGAACGCGCCGGCCACATCCGTCTCCTCGCCGTTCGTGCCGTGGTGGCTCGGCGTCAACGAGGTGCCTCCCGAGTTCGGCGAGCACCGTTACCTCACCACCGGCGCGTCCGGCAGCTTCCTGAACCCCGACTATCAGCTCCAGGAGGCCAGCGTCTTCGCCGGCCGTATTTTCAAGCGCGTGCTCTACTACATGTGCTCCGCCCCCGACATGTACCTGCCCATCGTCACGCAGATGCTCACGGGCTTCGAGAACCAGAGCCGCAGTGACGTCGGCTGGGTCGAGGCGGGCGCCGGCCTCCTCATCGAGAACGGCGAGCGCGAGGCCGCGCACTCTCTGCTCACGCACTACGCCCACAGCAGGGCCGCCAACGCGCTCGAGCTCGGCAAGACCATGACGGACGCGCTCGACGGGCACATCAAGCTGACCGGCCAATGGCGCAACCCCGTCGGCAGCGACATCAACGATGCCGGCGAGGGCGCCGAGACGGTCAACTGCCTGGTCGGTTATGACCCTGACCGGCCCATCTGGAAGCAGCCTAAGCGCCCTTCCAAGCGCACAAGCCCGTGGAAGAAGTTGGTCGTTCAGCATCGTCAGAACTAGGTCCCCGCATAAAAATGATAATAAGGAATACTCAGCACAACGGTCACCACTGGTGAATGCTCATGACAGTGACTGGTTGTGCCCGGTTTCCTGGGTGACCCTGAGGACAAGCTGCTGGTAACACACCAATGCCGGCTTGAAACATACGAAACCTGACCTGTATATAAATCACAATGGACCTTCACCTGCCTGTCTTTGCTTTACTTGGCCGTTTTCATTTCCCATGAACAAACTCTAATTAAAACAGTCACCAAGCCGCCCGGCTATATATATATATATGTATATATATGTTAGATCAGTCCTTCATCATCTTCTCTACCTTCCTCCCGACAGTGGCACTCCAGGCATCAATCTTCCTGTACCACCAGTCCGATAGATACAGCGAAACGCCCAGCAGGATGACCCAGCCGACGACGAGCCCCGCGTTCCGGCCGAGCTGCTCGAAGAGCCTCGGCATGATCCAGAAGCCCAGGCTGTGCAGCACGGGGCCGTGGACGAGGTAGAAGGAGAAGCTGATCTTGCCGAGGTACTGCGCGACACGCGCCTCGAGGAGGCCGCGGAGCAGCGGGCTGTGCAGGACGCAAGGGAGCAGCAGGAGGGCCCCCATCGCCTGGTAGAACATCCAGCCCGACAGCGGGATGTAGTACCTCGGCACGAGGGACGACAGGAACGCGAAACCCGGCGTCCACTCGGCGCCGGCGTCGGGGTACGAGAGGAGGTAGAGGGCGACGAAGAGGACGGCCCAGCGGGCCCCGCCGGAGCTCAGCGCCGATTGTCCGGGGCCGGTTTGGCGGCCGTTCCTGCTGCTGCTGCTGCTGCTCGTCGCCGGCGGTGCTAGCCCCCGGTCGTCGGCCCGCCTGATGTCCGCCTCCGAGAGCAGCAAGCCGCCCATGAAGATGGCCATGTCCCACCGTCCAAAGATGAGGCTGTAGGCGGAGAGGAGGCTGCCGAGGCGGAAGCGCCACTTGGCCTTCAGGGCCGCGGTGCCCATGAGGAAGAGGTAGATGAACATGGAGCCGCGGAGCTCCATTGGAATCGTGAAGGTGTGGGGGTCGTAGCGGGTGTGGTAGTGGCCGAAGTTGAACGGGTTGGCCCACTCGACGTAGGCCCTTGTGAAGTTTGAGAGGGCGTAGGTGATGTTGTCGTGGATCAACGGGTGCTCTTCCCACGAGCCGCCGAGCTGGACCCAAGAGAATTGCGGCGGTTCGGTGGCGTTGGGCGGGGTCTTGTTATCGTCCAGGACCACGGGCTTGGCGTTCAAGTGGAGGAGGTCGTGATAGGACATCGTGGGCGCGTCCGTCATGGTGATGTTGATGACCGTCCCGTTCAGTCCTTTGGTTTCATTCGCCGCCTTGGCCTTTGCCGCGATGTCGTCGGCCAGCCGATACAACATCGGGGGCATGAAGAGCCGGGATGTGGCGTTCACGCAGAGTGTGCTGGTCTCGTTGTTCGTGACATTACCCAAGAACGCCGGGGTCGTCAGCCCCATGTACCTCGCGATGCCGAGGGCTCCCTCGACTGCATGCGTCCCGTTGGCACAGGTCTTGTTGAGATGAGCCACCGTCACAGTGCCGTTGATGTATCTCGAGTCGGGGCCCTTGTAGATGTCATGCTCGGAGCGGAAGGCGCCCATCTGGGCGAGCACGGCCACCAGGAACATGCTGATGGTGGGGGGGATGTACAGGCGGAACACACGTCGGAAGACGGAGGACGCGAGACCCTGGTACGCGGCCTCGAGGCGTCGCTCGTGGATGGCCCTCAGGATGTGGCGGCAAAGGACATAGCCCGAAATAGCAAAGAAGATGGCCACCATTGGGCGTCCGCGCTGCAGAAGACACAGAATGGGCAAGGATGACCGCTCGAAGTAGGGCTCGGGGGACCCGGGGGGCATGGCCCCGTAGCCAAGCATAATGGCAGGCGTCCACGGCCACAGGAAGTGGTAGTTGAAGACGAGGAGGCAGGCAACTCCGCGGAGGCCATCGAGGCATCTGATCTTGTCCGCGCTCTTCCTCGCCGCGGCCGCGGCCGACGTCCTGTTATCGCCGCCTTCGCCGTACCGGTCTTGCTCTTTTGACCGGGGGGACTCGTCCGGCTGCCCCTCCCGTCCCCCCCGCGTGGATTCTTCCCACATTGTGCCTTTCTGGCTTGCTCGGCCGTTGCGAGAAAACATGCGGGTAGAAAGAAACCGGGTCTAAAATGGGTGGATGGGCAGGTGAAGATACGCTGGCGGTGCGACGGCCGTCATCTGTTAAGTGAGGCTCACCGGACCGGACAAGTTTACACGTATAAGAACAACCGGCATAAGATACAGCGGCAGTATTGGTATAGTAGGACGATTGGGGGGGGGGAGCAGGTGGACGAAAAGGGAGAAGCGCACTCCGGGAGTTCCTAAATATGACTTGCTGGACAGAGCGACGATCCCGGGCACCCTTGTCCAATTATGTCATCTAATCATGACAACTACGCTCGAGAAACCACCTGACTTGGAGAGGGCCCATCTTTTGATCGACTTACATGAGGGAGGGGCCCCATAATGGAATCGTGGAACGCCAGAAATGTCTTACGCGCGTCGTTGCACAGCCTCTTAAAGTACTACACAGCGGTTGGCGCCATGTCACCATCACTCATGTATGTCGGGCCAATGCGACCTGAATCAAGGAAAGCCAGAGGGCGGGCATTTGCCAGCTCAGCCATCCGGGGAATTGGAGGAGCTCCGTCCCGGAGGTGACCCCCGGAGAACCCACCGAGGCACCCCGTAGTTTCTAAGCGTAAATCTGGCCGTTCGGTCGGTCGATAAGTCGGCTGCCGCCTCAAACCTACGAATGCGAGCATCGACCGAACACAGAACCTTAAACCCAACCGGCGCATCCGTCCACAAATGCTTTGGTTGCGGCGGCAAAGTAGCGCATTTTTCCCACCTCGTTTTGGGGGCGGGGGGGGGGGGGAGTGCAGTAATAGGGTTTCACCAAGTTCGGGCTGACACGCCTTTCTGCTGGTTTTTTTTTTTAACCACAACGACGGGGGTTTCCTGTGTTGACTTCCAGTCCAAAGAGTCTGCAGGCCACACCCGCATCCCGGCCAACGTAAAACGCCGCTCCCTGCATCTGGAAGATAATCGTAAACTATGATTCAGCCCTCTAGGTACACGGTTCTTCTCTAGCTCTTACGCTACTCATCGGTCCACAAGCTTCTAGTCATTAGCTTCCGGGGACAGTGTGGAGGGTGGGACTTGTTAGCCGTCATGGGGTTAGCAAAGATCGGCCGGATAACTCGAGCATCGTCCCCGGGCTCGTCGTCACCTGCATCGGTCCAGCATTAACTGCAGCTAGTTAACTTCTCTGATGAGTTCAAAATTCGGAACTAGTTGACTAAACCTGCTGTCGCGTAAACCAAATTGACCACGCTCATATAATGAAGATGGCCGTCCAGAGTGCTGTCAGTTTTTTCACCTCCTTTGCGCCCATTGTACATTTGCAATGAATTTGTGAGCACCCTATCGTGCAGATGAGTTTCCCGAAGCTTCTTTCTTGCCTATTCCACCTTGTTGCTATTACGTACACTGGCCGGGCTCTGTATCTTGCAGCAAGGAACTCTATCCGCACTCTATTACAACTCAACAGATCATCCTCTGTGGTACACACTGCAGCCCAAGCGGGTTCTACGGTGAGAGTTCCAGAAGCCTCCCAAATCCGTATTTGAACCCGAATGGAAGCTAGGATCAGTGCCAAGGCCACACAGACCAGCGAGCGGGCTAGAGAGTCATTAGTTAATGACCCTCGACTCTTGGTCGGAGTAGCGCCCTTGGAAGCGAGTCAGCATCACGTCCAGGCCAGTCGAGACCTTGAGAAGCTTTGAGAATGTGAGATGCGTGGCAAGAGATTCGGCTTTAATTACTGAACCTATTAATCACACCGTCGTAGGTACGTTTCCTTGACAGGTTTCTTGTGTTAGCCTCCCGGGATAAAAAGGTCAGCCTTGGAACGTCAAGTCCAGCTGGGATGACAGGCACAACAACACCAGCCTGATCTGCATTTGCGAAAACCGCATCGTCACCTTACAAACTCTCTGCTTAATATCCACATGTCTGCTTTCGTTATCATGCCAAGGCCTCGTTCTCAGCAGCAGTCCTAGTCCTGCTTGAGCCGTTGTCAGATTCGTCGACGACTAGGACTGCTGCTTGAGCCGTTGCCAGAGTCGCCATTGTCTTCCGACGCTCTATCATCCTCTTCTGACTCCGTCTTCTTCTCCTCCCCTCCAAACCATCGTTTCGCTGCGATATATCCCCCGGACCCAGCAGCCGTAGCACCGGCGCCGGCCTGCACTGCACCGTTCACTATGGCGGCCCCGTATCCAGCCATCCCGGCGCTCGTAAATGTGGAGAAGAGGCTCGGTGCCACGACGTTGCCGATGCTTGCTTGAGCCGCGGCCGCAGCTGAATCTGTTGTTGGTACAGGTCAGCTTCAGCTTCTGTCTGATTTCTGATAGCAACAGGCGGTTCCGGTCGTCTCATGCTAAACACTTACTGGCAATAACGCCCTGGGCTCCAAATCCCATCGCGGTCAATATAGGGGCCGAAACCAAGGCCGGTGCGGCGACGACGGCAAGGCTGGCCGCGCCGACCGTGTAGCACGCCGCTTGGCCAGGGTTTTCAGAAACCCAATCCTTGGCCTAGGGTTCATCGATGTGCGTTAGCCTTCGTCCATCCGTGTCCACACAGTGCTTCGCGTTTATTGCATTCGACCGTTACCTTTCGGTATGCAGATAGAGCATCAGCAGATGCTACGGGTGGTTCCGTGGACCCTAGACTCGTCTTGTCATCTCTTGGAGGCTCCATATAGGGATGCACCGGGAGAATCTGTACGAGTCTCTCTGTTTCATCGATAGCTTGATCGTCGCAAGATATTGTGGTGACGTCGTTATGGGGTCCTATATCGACGTTCAAAGCTGTAGATCGTTGATGAGAGTCGGTAGAATCCGAGGCTTTGGAAGAAAATGAGGGTGGGCGGCTCGACCGTTGGGTTTGTAGTTGATCGGTGAGGGGTGGCAAGTACAGTATTAATGTGTAAAAAGCCCGGGCTCAATGACATACTGTATCCGTAGGGTGAGTCTAGACTTTCTACACGTGACCGACCAACATCACAACAACGGTTTTCCGGCAGATTCGAGTCGGCCACCCAAGAACACTGTAGGATTGCTCTTTCAAGTTTCTCTCCTCCAAGCTTTGTTGACGTTCTTAGGTTTAAAGGTACCTGTAGAAATGCTGGCCATTCTAGGCTTATGGATCTTGAAAGCTAGAAGGAGTGGCCTTTACTGAGGATACAGGATTCATAGCCTTCTCTCTCATGGGATCCGGGAGACAGGAATATCAAACATAAAACAACTGCTCTCACAACTTGGAAGTTTTATATACTCCAACTTGGGATAAAACCTTGAGCACTGCTAAATACTCTCAAGCGTCTTCCAGAGTGCTCCCAAAAGTAAGCTCGTACCTTGCCCACAAATAGCTATTGCTACTACCTGTCGTATAAGAATGAGAAGTTGTTGTTTTGTGTCGTCTCACCGCCCATCTTCATCCCATATTTCCATGTGCCGCTTCGCGACGGCATCTAACCCCACCACGTGATGGGCAGCACTGCAGGCTGCGACCCGAAATACGAGAGAAAATAGGCAGCAGATGTGTTTTTTTATTGTGGATTTATCCTCTGATTCCCTATAATTTCCATCTCTCTCAATACCGTTGATGCTGGAAACGCAACAACAGTTTTCGCATCAACCTCCGAAACTTTCATCAGCGCGAAGTTAGAACTCGGCAAAACCTCTTGCCAACAAACAGTTTGCTGCTTCAAGTTCGACAACCTGACAGAGAATCTTGTCTTCGCCTCAAGTTACGCCATAGTCAGCAGGTCTGATTGTTGTATTCCCGACTTTCATCCCGGATCACGTAGGTCCCTTTCCTCTCCTCGTCTGTCCTTTACCCATCCAAGGCCACAAAACGTCCTCTGGGCCAAAGGCGGTTGATCTTGGTGATCGGCAACTTTTGGCTCCATCTCTGAATCGCCAGGGACGTCTTGGTATGTGACGATTCACTTCGTCCAAGCTCTAAATCGCCATGAACGTCTCGATATGCGACGATTCACTTGTTCCAAGCCCGCCCCGACTGGGTAGCCTCCCGTCTTTCTCAACTCCTATAAAAAGGGAGACAATCCCCTTCCCTGGACTCTCTCACTGACATCTCACTCACAAAGCAGAACTTCACAGCACACCTTTTAGAAAAGATCAAGATATCTCAACATTCTTTGTACAGGCCACAAGCCTCAAGTACAACAAAAGACACTTCCCACATCCCACACCACTGAACAGGCGGCCGGACCCCCACCTCCCCTCCCCTCTCATCAACAACTTCCTCCCAGCACCAAGACATCTCAACCCCCTCAAAGTCCTACCTTCCTTCAACATGGCCTCCGACCTCCTCGAGCAGGCCACCGCCATGGCCGACCTCGACCAGACCGAGATCTGCCAGCTCAAGCAAGCCCTGGCGCAGGCGCAGGCCAAGATCAAGCGCCTCGAGGAGCTCAAGGAGCTGGACCAGACCGAGATCGTCATCGCCCAGGCCCGCGTCGATGAGCTGACCAAGCTCGTCGAGTCTCTCCAGGGGCAGATCGGCTGTGCCGAAGAGGACAAATCCCATGATGGTGGTGGAGTTCAACAGGATCCCCAGACCAACGGCGTCCACGTCGACATCCACCCCGACCTTGACTCCCCTGTCGAGGACGAGGGTGTCGGTATCAATCTCAACGGCTTGGACATTGACGACACTGCTAAGAACGGCCAGCTCTCTGTCTCGGACAGCGGCTTTGAGGGGTACGGCTCCGATGACGATTCGGACTTCGCCTAGGTTTCTCATTCGGTATAAGAGCGCCGAGGCTACGATGCAGGCATCCTCGGAAGCGATGGACGATGAACGGCAGGTGCGGAGCACAGGAAGTCTATGGAATCGTGATTGCCATGGCAGCATGGGGGGGTTCAGCAGCCAGGCGGCGCCGGCGCGAGCTGTGGTCTTGAAGTCTCGCAGGCCGGGTAGACCAAGAAGGGGTTGCGTTTGACACTGGTTGTTGAGGGGGGTTTTCTCGAGCTCGGAACGGATAGCATAGCGTAGCATGGCATGGCATGGCAGAGCATCGGAATAGTGCAGTTAACCATTAGTAGAATTGACAAGTTGTCCAAGGAATCCCACAGCTTTTTCTTACCATCAGGATGCCATCGGCCGTCAGCCATGGATGGATACCAGCATTGTCCTTTACCACTGCCCATTCCCACTTCCTATTCCCTCCAGAGCTCGACCGCCCTGGACTTGTAGCCCCTCTACCGCATCTAATGATATCCATAAATAGCTCTCACTGTCAGGAGTAGGACTCACGTTCCATGCCCTCTGCGGCGACTACCCCGTGTTCGCGACATTCTCTGCCACCCCATTCGTCTTCATGTTGCGTCGCAGGAAAATGCCGCGAGCTCGATCAGCGCTGGCAGGCCGCTCACCCTCGACGGCATCATCTTTGATGACCCCTGTCGACGGACAGTCCGTTCCGGGTGTCGTGGCTACTGTTGCAGTCACCATAGCATCCGGGCCGACCACATTCACGCATCAGGGAGTATATGGTCTAATGTACTCTATTCAAGCTCAATTGTTCCGGGCGGCTTGCTGGTATTGTCATACACGACACGCGAGACACCCTCAACCTCGTTGACGATACGTGTCGAGATCTTCAGGAGGTTAAAGTCGAACTCAAAAGGCTAGCAACTCATCAAGTCTGCAGTCTGCACAGCGCGGAGAATAACAATGTAGCTATAGACTCTGGCGTCACCCTGCACACCCACGGCTCCATTGGTATCCAGGCCAGCATAGCTTTGGGACATCTGATCGTAGATGCCAGCTTCCTTGATCATCGAAATGAAGATGTTGTCAGCAGCTCGGGCAATTGCCATGCGCTCCGGTGTGACCTCTCCAAGAATTCTGATGGCGATTCCGGGGCCCGGGAAAGGATGTCGCATGATGAGATCGTCGTGGATGCCAAGCTCCCTGCCGAAACTTCGGACTTCATCCTTGAAAAGTTCCCGTAACGGCTCAATGAGTTTCAACTCAAGCGTGTCGGGCAGACCTGCGACATTATGATGGGCCTTGATGGTCGCGCTGGGGCCCTTGAACGAAAGCGACTCGATAACATCGGGGTAAAGAGTGCCCTGGAGGAACCACTCGACTGCGCCAGCATTGGGAGTGTTCTCTGCCTCCTTCTCGAAGAGGTTGATGAATGTTCCACTAATGATTTTGCGCTTCTTCTCCGGCTCTGTGACGCCCTTGGGACGACCAAGGAACAGCTCAGCTCTATTAACAACCGTCAGGTTGATGCCGAGGTGCTTCTAGAGCGTCTCCTTTACCTGCTCGTACTCGTTAAGACGTATAACTCTGTTGTCAACCAGAATCGCATGGAAGCGATCGCTAATTGCTTCCTTTATACGCTTAGCAGCAACAGTAGAATTAACTCCTCTACTGATAGTGCTAACAACTTGGGCATAATTACTAACAAGATGTCTAATATAGATAATCTCCTTCTTAATAAAATTGCTTATAACCTAGTTAGGTTGCGCTTTATAAATGTCAACACTAAAGTTATAAAGGATCTTACTGCCTCTTGGCGTGTGTTTAAGCTCAGGGTGGAATTAAACGCCATAAACTGGCTTGGTCTGATGGGCAATTGCGGCATATTCGCTGTTCTTTGTGCTTGCAACAACAGTAAAGGCTTTAGGTAGCTCATTTCGGTAATGCTGGCCATGTTTTGTGCTTGACCGGATGTGAATGCGTGGGCGTGTCGGAGCTGTTGAGTTTGCGCAAGGAGACTGTCGTTCTAATTGCTCACTCTGATGATGATGATAAGAAGAAGTCTCCTCTCCTCCTAGTACCCTAGGAGTAATCTATCTATGCTAAGGCTAAATCGTTCTTACCTTCTGTCTGTGCGTTCCTGGCCGTCCAGGTGCAAAGTAAAAGAAAGTTTTTCCACTCTCCCCCTGTGTCCTTGCCTTGTCTATTCTAAATTCTCCTTATTGCCCTTTACTATTGCCTATCCCCACCTCCTATTTCCTCCTGAGCTCGACCGCCCTGGACTTGTAGCCCTTCTACCACATCTCATGATACCCATAGATGGCACTCAAAGATGTACCGTAAAAAACATGTCACTTCACAACTTCGGCGACATGGGAGCTAGCTTGGGAGTTGTAATGCGGTTGCGAACCCCATTTGACCAGATAGGAATACATAGTAAGGAAACAGCCACCAATGTGCGGCATCCCTACCTGGTCTTGAGCCGGTGGCGGACGACGGCCCTGTGTAGGGGAGTGGGTGATTCAGAAGGGTGTCGAGACGGGCCGCGTGTGTGTTTGTGTGTGTGTGTGTGTGTGTGTGTGTGTGTGTTTGTTTCCTCGATAAGGTTGGCAAGTTGGGATGTTTGCTTGTGAATGCTACGGCAGCGTCCGTCCTGACTCGGAGCTTGGCGGCTGGTTCATCGGACAAACACACTCTCTTCCACAACCCGCCACTCGAGGCAGGACAATTATGGTTAGATGACGAGGTGTTCCATCATTATCTGTCACACTACCTCGCCGCATCGGACCGTTCGCTCTTCTGGGCGATGTGAAGAGGTGAGAAGAGATGAAGAAGTGGCAGTTGGAGAAAGCACAAGCAAACCCCCACCCACCACCTTCCATCCCGAGTCCCCCCTCCCCCCCCCAATTGCCTTAGTTGGTAGTTGGTTAGTCACCTGAAGTTGCATAGCTGCCTACCTAGCTTACCCCAGCTACCCGGCGGATCTTGCTTGAACCAAACGCTGAACCAACATGCGTGGGGCCGCGCCTGAACCCCCGACGCCCGCTTCCGACTCTTCAAGCGACTTGTGGATATGCGCAAGTTTCCACTTCCTCCTCCATCTTTCCCTTGCCTTCTGTGCCGTCTGAGTCGAGCACCCCGCCAATCACGTCTTCCTCACCGCCAGGTCCGTCTCGCGCTGGCGTCCTGAAACCTGCTCACCTCCATGCCGTTTTGGGATTCGCGGCGGCTGGTCACAAGGCTACTGCTTGTCATGTGCAACGATGCAGCGAGATAAAGCTCTAGTAGTAACCCCCCCTTCCATGTTGGCCGTCAAGCGTCGTGCCGATAAGAAGACCAGCTGCCGCTCCCTCTTCTCCTTTCCGCTGTGCATGTTGTTTAAAGTCGACGAAGCTTCTCGGCATCTCGTTCTCGTTGCGTATATAGTGTTGTAAAAATACCCAGAGCCAATCGAGAATCTACAGACTCTAGTAGAAGAACACCCGCGCGGATCAAGTTCGATCCTACGTACCCCGAATCATTCTTACAGGACCGGATCCTACGAGCCGCCAACATGCCAGCCATCACCCTCTCCAACCAGTTCGTCAAGTCTTTCTCTCTCTCTCTCTCTCTCTCTCTCTCTCTCAGCCCCTTCGAGAACCCCGGTTAACACAAGCTCCACCAGGACCCCTCCGGCCGAGCTCCGACAGGCCTCGAAGCCGGACCTCGCAGCCCAGACGCAGGCTGCCTCCGACCCCGCCGCCTCGCTCCGCGAGCTGCCCTCGGCCGTCGATTGCGCCGCCCACCTGCAGCTCCTCGAGACCTTTGTCGCTCTCCACGGCACCGTCCGGCTGCTCGCTGCCGCGGCGGGTCTCGCCCCGGAGGCGGCCTGGGACTCGTACTGCGACCGCGCCGTCGCGCGCTTCGAGGCGTGGAGCGCCAGCGGCCCGAGGCCGGCGGAGCGGATGCCGCCGGTTGACGTGCTCATGGCGTGGCACGCCCTGATGCTGCACCCCAGGGCGTACGCGCGCTTCATCGAGCTCGGCGGGCGGCTGGGACTGGACGGCCTGAAGTGGTCCGAGATTGTGAGTTCTTGTCCTTCATAGAGTCAGGCGGGGTGATGTGTGTGTGTGTGTGTGTGTGTGTGTGTGTGTGTGCAAAGGAAGGAGGGAGAGAGAGAGAGAGAGTCACGAATAACAAGAAGAACTCGTCGCTGACCACCAACGACAGTCAAACCTGACGATGCCCGACATCGACCTCCCCTCCCTCTCCGCAGCCCACACCGGCGTCTTCACCCACCGCTCCCCGACGGGCACCCCGCTGTTCACCTACCCCCTCGCCGCCGCCATCCGGCGCCAGCTCTCCTTCTCGACCAAGATGGCCCGCCACGCCTGGCTGCGCAGCCCGTCGCTCGCCTCGACGCTCGCCCGCTCCCGGGCCCGGTACGCGCGCTTCTTCCAGCTCATCGCCGCGCACCCGCGCACCGTCATGGTGCCCACCCTCGACATCGACCTCGTCTGGCACACCCACCAGCTCAGCCCGGCGCGGTACCTCGCCTTCTCGAAGCGCGCCGTGGCGGGGCGGCTCGTCGACCACGACGACGAGATCGCAGACGAGACGCTCGGGGCGCTGGCCGCAGACATGCAGGAGCTCTGGGCCGATGTATTTGACGGCGAGGCCTACCACGCGTGTCTGTGCTGGGCCTGCGAGGGCGGGCGTGCGGGCGTCGACGGTGGCGTCGTGGACGCGGCGCTGCAGAAGGAGGAGGCGGCAGCGGCCGGTATTCTGCCGCTTGCAGACCTCGCGTTCCCGCGGTGCGGCGACTGCGGCAACCATCCTGACAGCTGCTGTCCTTCGGTCGAGGGTGCTGCCGGGTGTGGGAGCGGGTGCGGCGGTGGCTGCGGAGGAGAGGGCGGGTGCGGAAGCTGTGGTGCGAGGTGAAGGCTGCATTACGAGACTGTGGAGTTGTTACATGAGACTACTGCCTATATGAATGAATGAATGCCTTTTCTACGAATGCCACTATATTGATCGATCGTCACACATATCTATGAAACTGTCTGTCTGTCTACCTACTTACTGCCTACCTACACTATCCAGACGATTGATACAAGTCAAAATGGCACAACCGGCAAAAGGAATTGCCTCGTGGCGGAATCGAACCGCCGATCTTCTCATGACACTAGAGTACTAGTGAGACGCTATACCACTTAGCCAACAAGGCATTTAGTTGGTTGTGATTGATGAGATTGCCACGAATGAAACCTATGGAGAGGAGATCTCATCCGGGCCCCACATCTTGCCCCTCTGCATCACTCAGTTTCCCCCCGCCGAGGTAATGCGCACCCGGAAACGCCATATTGCACCTCACGGGATATCCCTCCCACCTTATCTTACTCGGTAGGTTATTTGGGTGACTAGATTGCCAAGCCGTCGCCTGCAAACTCAATTATACACTGTTGAACAGAGCCGCGCCCTCCACCCCACCCAATGACAGCCTCGGGAAAGGTCATTCGCACGCCAAGGGGAGCATTCATGCCATCTAGATTGAACAACTGGGACCCTCTAAGGAGAATCAGGAAATGATCACGCTTCCACCGGCAAGCCCTGGTCATATGGGCATAGCTTGCACATCCATCCCTTGTTTTCGCACCGGCGCCAGTGAGGGCCATTCATTAGCCGACTTGCGGCGTCCAAGTACGTGTACGTGTGGGAGAGAGCCCGGCTACTGCCCGGGGCTATGAGGAACGGGTCGGTATCGTTGCGTCCCTCGTGGTTGCCGCTGGTGATGGCTTTAGACGAGTGTCCCCTTTATTTATGTGGGTAAAAGGTCCGGTCCCATATGCCGAGTGTTTGTTTATAGACTCCAGTCGAGAAGAGTGTATAAAACCTCCATCGTCTCTCTCACTTTTGATCTTGCCTCTTGCTCACCACTTCGTCCTCGGTAGACCACATTCGTTTCACAGAGCGGCACAGCAAGACCATCACACTCTTTGTCTGAGCATCACCAGTCCAACTCCCACACTCGTTCTCGTGCCTCTGTTATTCCTCTGCCCCGCAAACACATAAAAGATCCTTCCATATGCGCCCCTCGGCAGTCCTTGCCGCCGCCGTCACCATGTCCGCCAACGCCAACACTGCCGCCGTTGCTGCTCACCCGTGGCTGGCTCCCGGAGCCGACGCCGTCCGCGGCCCCTGCCCGATGCTCAACTCGCTCGCGAACCACGGCTACCTGCCCCGCACCGGTAAGGAGATCAGCATGGCGGACCTAATCAGCGGCCTCGGGACGGCGCTGCACTTCAACGAGAGCCTCGTGCGCACCCTCGGCACGCCCGCGTTCGCGACGTCGACGACAGGAGACCCGAACACCTTCAACCTCGACGACATCGCCAAGCACAAAGTCATCGAGCACGACGGCAGCCTGTCGCGCGCCGACTTCGCCGTCACGGGCGACGCAAAGACGTTCAACGAAACCGTCTGGGCCGAGACCAGGGGGTACCTCGAGGCAGGCGCGTCGGCGGATGCAAAGGTCGACTACAAGACCATGGCGGCGGCGCGCAGCAAGCGCATCGCGACCGCCAAGGCCACGAACCCGCAGTTCGACCTGCCCACCAGCCAAGTCACCGTGTCCCTGGGCGAGTCCGCCGTGATCCTCGGCACCATCGGGCAGAGCTTCAGCGAGCCCGCGGCGCCGCTGCAGTGGATGAAGGTCGTCTTCGAGGAGGAGAGGCTGCCGTTCGACGAGGGCTGGGAAACGTCTGCCACGGAGATCACCACCGCTCAGGTCCTCGGCCTGTCGCAGCTCATCGCTACCAGCAGCACCTAAGGTTGCCCATAGTTATGTCGTAATGAACGCCTGCATCGATATTCAACGTGTTTCGTTCCGACCCAAGAAGCGCAGCGTGATGTTATCGAGGCGAAGCCTGCCCGGGGTACAACTCGGGCGTTTGACAGCGGGCCCTTGGGCGCCGGCCAGCGTGAATGATTGTTTGCCGAGGTCTAGAATACCCTTCTCAGGGCGGACAGGGTGAGGGTCTGGCCGGGGCGCAAACAGACTGCATCTCGGGGTCAGGCTTTCGTTTCCGTTAAAGTGATGTATTGATTGCGGCCTGTGCTGGAGGGGCCGAAAGAATATTCCGTTACATGTAAGCTCCTTTCCAGTACTATGAGCACTTATCACTTACGCACCATCGATGCCAGACCGCCCCGGAACCATTGACTGCACATAGCCGGGTCGCCTTGGTGGGTTGGAGGTGAAAACGATGTCTCGTCATGCTTGGTCGCTTCCAACTATGCTCAACGGCTCGTCAAGCCGGCGGCATGATGGGCTTGTTCACCCCAAGTGAAGCGAGAAGTACCACAAGCAGAGGTTAAGAAGCATCGACATGGCGCAAGAACCGATTGCTGCGAGCCATTACCGGATGGGTTGAAATAATTGTCGTCATCGGCCAAAGACCGTGCCCTGGCGACCCAGTCCGAGTCATGGAGAAACCACGAAATGATGAGAGATGATGTTGGGGAAGAGGATGGAGCAGATGGCTTGTCGGCCAAAGCACGCGATGCGGGACATTCCCTCCGAGGCTGCAGTGGAGGAGTGAGTACACCACCTCAGGTACCTACCTTGTGCACAGGAACGGGTGGGTACTGCTGTACGAATGTACCTACCAAGAGAGAGGTAGGGTGCTTAGGTACCTTAGTACCTGGATACCGGTACACTACGGTAGGTAGCAGTGGCGGCAGAGGTGACGCTACGGGAGCCAGGGACGGCACCGATCTGACGATCTGATGTGGGTGGGCAGCATCATTCCCCACATCATGACGTTTGGCGCTGGGGCCGTGAACAACTGATCCAGGAGAGATCTAGCCTCCTGGTGACCTCTACAGCAAGATACCTATCTACGTACATGTACAATATGTAATTTTCTCCCGTGCAGCCGCATACAGATACACAGATACTAGGTACCTAGGTAGATATGTATGCGTAGTACATGTACCTAGTATAGTTATAGTGTAGGAGCTCAGCGGCAGGTACGGACGAGTGACGTAAAGTCGAGCTCATAGCTTCTAATCCCTCTGGGTACGTAGGGCAGTTGACGGCCTCGACCGTCAGAAATCCTTCATTTAAAGAAACTGCTTCAGCCGCCTCGAAACCCCTCTCGAATTCCATCTTCACTACATCATCGATACCTCAAAAGCGAAACATCCATCAATTCTTCCACAAAGTCTCACTTCCATCATCAACAGCCAATCTCTTCTACCGACCATCCATATACCAATCACCCATCATGCCTCGCGACGGAACCGGACGATCTGACAACGCCATCGAGCCTGGTCACAACATTGTCCACGGCGCCGGGGAGGTCAAGGTAAGCCTTGTCCGTCCTCGCCTTTGGGCCTAACAACACGTACTGACCTGGTGGTTACCCAGGACCCCCACGTTGACCGCGCCGATAAGACCGCGCCGCTCCCTGAGGGCGAGAAGGGCCTTGCCATCGACGGTCTGCCCGCCAGCGGCGGCTTGAGCGAACCTTTTGCCAGTCATCCTGACGCTGGCCAGGGCGGCTGGAAAAACACCAAATAAGTTTACTCCCAAGTACGGGAAGCTTGAGGGTAACGACATGGAAACCGGAGAGAGGATGACCACCAACCATCATGATTCGGAGCGCCGTCTGGTGGTGACTACGACGAGGTAGTCATAATGAGAATATGAATAATTATTATAAACCTTGGTCATCTAGTGTGATATCTTGGCAGCAATGACTGCTTTCGATGTTGTTCGTTATATTAACAATTCGTGAATGGCAACTATTATCCATCAAAGGTTTTGTATGGTTTCAAACAACTTAATCCTTTCGAATCTATTTCGTAAAGTAAAATGGTGTAGTAGCAGATTGGCCGGTCTTTTGGTGTCCTGGATAAGGTTTGCTAGGGAGGGAATGACGAGCATAGTTCCGGCCACGTTTTTGCGGCACACACGCAGTGAACGAATACCCTTCAGGAGCCCCGCCAGGTCTCCAGGAGAAAGTGTCGAGCCACCGGCCCGGCGATGCGGTCGAGGAACGGGTATATCCCGAGCAGTGCGTATACTGGACCATCATCAGCTACTTAATCCCCACGCGCCTCCCTGCCGCGCGTATCGAGACGGAACGAAAAAAGACTACTCACGTCGGATGATGGACTCCCACGACAGCCAGGAGCACGCCAGGAGTAAGCAGGCCAGCGGGAACTCCAAGACGCCGCAGATCACGAGGGCGAGGCCGAGGGCCTGGTCGCTCCTCAGACCGTCCGTGACCAAGGGGCCGTTCATCACGTATTGGGGGGGCAGTCGACGGCGAGGGTTGGAGGGGACAAGGTCAGATTCAGGTGCGCTTTTTACGGCTGGGAGAATTTTGATGATATGAAGCCACCCCCCCCGAACAGTAAAGAGGCAAAGTACAAAAGGAATTGCCAGATCCGCGGCCGTCGGACGGAAACGGTCTACGTTATCAAGCTCAACCAAGGCTCTTGGGACGAACTCAAAAAGGATGCATGTCTCGGTCGGCCGCTTCGGACCCTTCTCCAAGCTTCTGTTGTAAGACACCAAACGGGACACGCCTGTCAAACACACACAAAGAATGAGACGCAAATCAAGAGCGGGCCAGGCGCGCAAGAGACATCCAAAGGGGAAGAAAAAAAAATATGTGCTAGTAATATGTGAAACTCCTATTCATGAGGTATTCCGAGCCATCGTCACACCCACGCGCGGTTTCGTTGCAGTTGCGGAAACCATTCGTCTTTTTATCTATCCCATCTTCATCATCATGCCAGGAAGCCGCCGGCCAAATCAAACACCCAGAGACGCAGGGCCCATCCATTCCCCCCCGGGGGATAACTAGGCCTCAAAGACCAGGACGACGCCGTCGTCGCCGGCGGTGACGATCCTCTCCCCCGTCTCGCCCTGCACGAAGCCCAGGACGCCGCCGCCCTCGCCGTCGCCGCGGTGGCCGCGCCACTCCTTGACGAGGCCCGAGTCCTGCGCGCGCAGGTCCCAGCGCCGCACGACGCCGTCCATGCCGGTGACGGTGCATAAATAAGAGTCAGTCAAGCCGTCCTAGGATGATAAACTGCACGCGGTGACTATATAAGATTCTTGCCAGAGGTTGTGCGTCGAGAAAAGGTATGCCGACACGTTCAAGATGGGTGTGCCCGAGCTCTCGTACATTGTATCCGTGCACAGATCAACCGACCGACCTGTCGACGCTAACCACTGTGGAAACATACGGCTGTAGGCACTTTCGCATGGCGTCCGACTGTCTTCGGACACCCGCGGCGTGTCAATGCGGTTTACAACGAGTTGTTTGTGGCGCCTAACGGGCGTTGAGGATTAGCTCTCTATTACCCCGATTGAGA